CCTGGAGAAAATTCTGCACAGCCCAGGTGAAATCTTATGTTACAGATGCAACACTTGACGCCTACATTACGTTTTCCCAGTACTCCCGAACACTCGCCACACCTCTCCATTGTCTGATGTATTGTATTGTATTTGTGCTTCACAATACGGATCACTTGTTGATGTCAGTCCTTTTAACTCTTTATAAAATTATATGTATATATTTACATATTTAATATTTATAATATTATATGTATACCGTATATTTGTAATATTATGTATGTTATTTTGTTCAAACTTTATGTCAGGTACTTTGCGTATGCTAGCGAAGCTGGTCCCCAGTCGGTACAGGTGACCTCTTGTTGTCCCAGGTTGATGTCACCAGTTTCCAGTTACTCGATTTATACCACTGATTTATTCTTTGCTTGTATTCTTACAAGGAATTTTCCGCCTAATTTCCGGCTTGCAATGGTACTCACTCACTTTATTACTAATTCCTAGATCCACATTTCCATATTACAATATATATTTTTCCGTATTTTATCACTGTGGGACTGCCCTGGGGTAGGCCTCGTGGCTTGTGTAAACACAGCCTAGATGATGCCGCCTCTTGCCACTATTCTATATTTCTAGTATTCTATATTTATAATATTCTATGCACGATTTTCCTATACTTCCAACTTATATGTGTGTTGTGATACCCGGTCCACTTCATTGTTCCAGGAATCACCATTCACTATTTTTTCCTCATACCGCTTACACACATGTACACAAAGCCTCGTGTACTGGCTCCTACGTGGTCTCCCGTTTATTCTCTATTTAACACAAAGTTCCAATGTTAATAACAGTATTAAATTTTCCAGCGGGTCATTATTTACCCCTGTGACAGGTGAAAAAATGCGTTTTTGAAATACAACGCAATCTGTTGCACATAATAGCCACATGCACGCTATACCAAATATGTCACGAATTCCATTTCAATGTTTCCGATTGCATTGATAAATTTTATTTTCATAGATTTCGATTTATTTTATATTTTAGTGAATTATTTTGTATGACATTGTGTTGGAAATGAGCTGTGTTGTTTACCATACCGTTCATTTTGTAAGTATAAGTATAGATGCCACACCTGTGACAGGTAAAACTATGCTTTTCTTGAAAAACAGCGATATCTGTTGCATGCAAGAGGAACACACATGTTATACTAAATATGTTACAATTTCATTTCATTGTTTCTGATTACACTGATGAATTGAATTTTCATAGATTTTGATTTATTTTCATTTTTATTTAATTATTTTGTGTGAATTGCATTGGAATTGAACTGTGTTGTTTACCAAACCGTTCATTTCGCAAGTATAGTTTATTTTTATATTGTTTCATATTTCAATTCATTTTTAACAGTTTTTCTTATATTTCAGTGATGAGAACATCAGATCACTTGATGTTCCCAATTTTCTGATGGGCACATCAGACCATTTGGTAAGGCATCGGATGAGGGAGGGGGGAATGGTGGGGATGACGAGGTGACGGAAGTGAGAGATGGTGTGGAGGACGAGGGGACAGGGAGCGTGAGAAATGGTGCGGGAGATGAGGGGATGGGGGAGTGTAAAATGGTAAGGAGGACAAAGGGACAGTAGAGCTGGGGATGGTAGGGAGGACGAGGGAATGGGTGAGGAGGGGGAGGAAATGGTGCGGAAGATGAGGGGACGGGGGATGGTGGGGGAGGACGATGGGATGGGGGGGGGGAAAAGTGGGTTGAATGATTGAATACGGGAGTGGGAAATGGTTGAGAGGACGAGAGAACAGAGAGTGGGGAATGGTGGGGAGGACGTGGTGCCTGGGGAGGGTTGCTGAGACTCAGCAATGACCAGCAACACGTGGCCAGGTGATGCTAGTACATATATTGCATATATATATATATATATATATATATATATATATATATATATATATATATATACATATATATATATATATATATATATATATATATATATATATATATATATATATATATACATATATATACATATATATATATATATTAAGGCGGATTAAGGCGTCCCTGTACATACCAGTTGCGTTGCTCCTGGCAGTATGGGTTCGAGTCACTTCTGGGGTGTGAGTTTTCAGTTATATATATATATATATATATATATATATATATATATATATATATATATATATATATATATATATATATATATATATATATATATATATATATATATATATATATATATATATATATATATATATATATATATATATATATATATATATATATATATATATATATATATATATATATATATATATATATACTAGCTGTACCCGGCCATGCGTTGCTGTGGCTCATTAACGTATGTGCGTTGCTGAACAGCAACTCTCCCCCTGTCTCCCAGTCCTCACCACCATTCGCCCCTCTGCAGACCCATCGTCCTCCCAACCATTCCTCACTCCCCCGTCCCCTCATCCTTCAAACCATTCCCCACTCCCCCATCCCCTCATCCTCCCCACCATTTCCTTCCTCCCTCATCCCTATGTCCTCCCCACCATCCACCACTGCAATATCCCCTCGTCCTCCTAACTATTCTCCACTCAATCATCTTCTCGTCCACTCCACAATCTCCCACTACCCCGTCCCTTCGTCCTCCCTAGCATTCCCCCTTTCCCCCCGTCCCCTCGTTCTCCCCACTATCCCCCCACTTCCCTGTCCCCTTGTCCTTCCCCCACCAATATCCATTTCTTGTCCCCTCGTCCCCACCATCCCCCTGGCCCCCATCCCCTTGTCCTCCCAACCATTACCCCCTCCCCTTTCCCCTCGTCCTCTGCATCTCCCCCCACTCTCGTCCCCTCGTCCTCCCCACCATTACTTACTCCCTTGTTCGATGCATTCTCAAATGATCTGATGTTTCCATAAAAAAATTGGGAACATCAAATTATCTGATGTTCTCATCACTGAAATATAAGAAAAACAAAAATAAAGCAAATGAAAAACAAAAAAAAAAATAACAAAATAAACTATATTCACGAAATGAACGGTATGGTAAACAACACAGCTGAAATCCAATGCAATCTAACAAAAAATAATTAAATCAAAATGAAAATCAATCGAAATCTATGATAATTCATTTATCAATGAAATTGAAAACACTGAAATGGACCTGAAACATATTTAGTTTAGTGTTTGTTGCTCCTACGTGCAACAGATGTAGTTGTTTCTTAAAAAAAAAGGTTTTACCTGTCATAGGTGTGGCATCTATACTTATACTTACGAAATGAACGGTATGGTAAACAACACACCTCAATTCCAACACAATGTCACTCAAAATAATTCAATGTTTAAAATAAATCGAAATCTATGAAAATTAAATTTATCAATGCAATTGGCAACATTGAAATGTAATTGTAACATAAATTGTATAGCGTGTGTTGCTCTTATATACCACAGATGGCACTGTTTTTCAAAAAAGCAGGTTTTACCGGTTACAGGTGTGGCAGCTATATAGTAGGTATATAAAAACACGCATATTGAAATGAAGCATGTTAAAATTTCAAAGCAAAAGGTGTAGAAATTTCGGAAGTTTCAGTGTGTATTGCTCTTACTTCCAACAGATGGTGCTCTTTTTCTAAAAAAGCATGTTATTTCCTGTCACAGGTGAGGCATGTATATAGCATGTATATAAAAACACGTGTCTATTCAAGTGTAACTTTGTGTCAAAATTTCAAAACAATTGGTAAAGAGGTTTCGAAGATTTCCCTCACATGAAAAACACATGAAAACACAGTTTTTCAGAAAAAAACATGTTTTTTCAGTCACAGACGTAATATCTATATAGCATGTATATAAAAACCTGCGCAGATGCGAATGGAACATTGTGTGAAAATTTCAAAGCAATCGGTGAAGAACTTTCGGAGATTAGCGATTTGGAACGAACGAACATTTCCATTTTTATTTATATGATATATATTAACGAACTACCGAACAAGCTACTTAACAAGCCACCACAGAGTAGAACTACTGCTCAAACAGGACCTTTAAGCCTGCCTCAGGCAGCCACTTGAACCCTGGAAAGTTATCTGAGCCACTCCAGGAGTCTTGATCAGAGATCGGGCCACAGGGACCTTGACACCCGAAATCGACCCAAGGTAAAATAACACCTGGGTCTTATAAATTGTCAATTACTATTCTGTGGCCGCTCGGGAAAAGCATAAAGTTCCAGCTTAGACAGTAGTTTTTAATAGAGCGGCCGACTTCCATCTCGGTGTCGGTGGGTAGAGACTCTTGGTGAATTCATTGTATTGTGGTTGACAATTTATATGACATGACTTGGGAGGATCACCTAATTTTTCTCTGCCCAAATGGCAGCCCAGGGAGGGGGGAACTATCAGGGGAAAGCGATAAGCCGTTATGACTATATAGCACTAGGAAGGAATCATGATAAGGATTGGTGAAGGAACGGAAGAAAGGAATGGTGCCAACCACTTGGATGGTCGGGGTTTGAAAGACGACATGCATGAAGCGTGGTCGCACATTCAAGGAAATACTGGTGAGTTCCCTGGGATCAAGCAACATTTCCTGAGCTCAAGTAGCCCAGGAAATGCTTGAATTTTTAGTTTATATATGTAATCTCTAATCAAAGACTTCCTCCATAAAACTTTTTATCAGCTTTAAATGGAACGTTCTGTGTTTCCTTGTGGTGATCCATATGGAGACAATGAGTCATATAACATGGCTGAAGATATGATGTGCAAATCACACATCAGAATATTAAGAAACTTCGACGTTTCGGTCCATCCTGGACCATTATCAAGTCATTATCACAACTTGTTAATCGCCCAGGACGGATCGAAACGTCGCTTTTTCTTCATTTCCTGATATGTGATTTTTGTATAATTTCCTATTATGTTGCCTCGGCATTGCTTTAACAGATAATATTGGGTTTCATTCATAGCTCTAAGTGCCACATTGATAATTGTTAAAATAATAACTAAAAGGCTGCACTGTCTCTCAGGCTCTCCAACGGCCCACATCTAGTGGTTGTCAGTGAAACGTATCCTACACACGAACCTATGATGGTTGACGACCCCAAGACGCCAGGAAAAAAAGTTCTTCAATTCTTCAGTGCCATGGCGAAGGTTCTTGAACTTTTAGCTGACACAACAAATTTTACGTGAGTTTGCCTTTTTTCTGGAAAGGGAGACTATATTCACTTCATATTTACCGAAGAACTTTTATAATAATTTTGCTTAGGTATTATATCGAGGAGATAATTGAAATAAATGTCTTTGAAGGGGAAGAAAGCTAATTTTGTTGCATAAAAAAAAGAGATATAATATGATATCAGTTGTTCAGTTAACAGGAAATTCTAGGATGTCAAGAGAGAGGGTTCATCGCAGATACAACAGAACTATGTGCGTACAAAGTGACCAAACGTGTGTGAGTTTGTACTATCAACCATTCAGAACACCCCAAGAGAGGTGCAAGCAATAGTGGAAACTGATGCCAAGTGAATATGACGTTAACAAGTACTGAAGTACAAGACAGTCTATTAAGTAACATAGCAGACTGTTGTTTGTTTTTGATTCAGCTACTCGAAACAAAAGTTCTGAGTAGCATAGGCTATGGTGAGCCAATAGTGGACTATTTAGAGCAGAAATGTTGTGCTAGGGAGAACACTGATAATATTTCAGATTATCTTAAAGGACTGCAGCATTTTACCACAGCCCATGAGTTAAAAATATGAAGACTATTGTGATAATTACCCGGCTTGTTATTCTCTCACATTCAATTGTTGGCGTCACATAGAGGGGTTGTGTGACAATATACGTTAGTGAGAAATGCTTTGGTGTATCAATTATGTTGTCATATGAGGGTTTGGAGACTATAGAGAGGATTTGGCCTCATAATCCCATATCAAAAGAATATCAATTCTAAAAAAAAATGTTAAGAAAAGTCTAAGTAAAACATAAAAAATTGAAGTGTAAATTTTAAAATTATCTTTGCAATTAAATTTTGTAGTAACACGAAGACATAAAAAAAGTATGTAGATTATAGAAAAATTACTTAAATGAATCCTGATAATTTTATTTTATTTTGAGGACATAAATAAATAATTGTACAGTTGATTAATGCAGCACCACACCAGGCATCCAACCTGCACCTCCAAGCATCCAACCTGCACCACCAGGCATCTAACCTGCACCACCTGGCATCCAACCTGCACCTCCAAGCATCCAACCTGCACCAACAGGCATCCAACCTGCACCACCTGGCATCCAACCTGCACCTCCAAGCATTCAACCTGCACCACCAGGCATCCAACCTGTACCACCAGGCATCTAACCTGCACCACCTGGCATCCAATCTGAACCACCAGGCATCCAACCTGCACCACCAGGCATCCAACCTGCACCACCAGGCATCCAACCTGCACCACCAGGCATCCAACCTGCACCTCCAAGCATCCAATCTGTACCACCAGGCATCTAACCTTCACCTCCAAGCATCCAACCTGCACTACCTGTCATCCAACCTGCACCACCAGGCATCCAACCTGCACCACCTGGCATCCAATGTGAACCAACAGGCATCCAACCTGCACCACCAGGCATCCAACCTGCACCACCAGGCATCCAACCTGCACCACCTGGCATCCAACCTGCACCACCTGGCATCCAACCTGCACCACCAGGCATCCAACCTGCACCACCTGGCATCCAATGTGAACCAACAGGCATCCAACCTGCACCACCAGGCATCCAACCTGCACCACCTGGCATCCAACCTGCACTACCTGGCATCCAACCTGCACCACCAGGCATCCAACCTGCACCACCTGGCATCCAACCTGCACCACCTGGTATCTAACCTGCACCACCAGGCATCCAACCTGCACCACCTGGCATCCAATGTGAACCAACAGGCATCCAACCTGCACCACCAGGCATCCAACCTGCACCACCTGGCATCCAACCTGCACTACCTGGCATCCAACCTGCACCACCAGGCATCCAACCTGCACTACCTGGCATCCAACCTGCACCACCTGGCATCCAACCTGCACCACCAGGCATCCAACCTGCACCACCTGGCATCCAATGTGAACCAACAGGCATCCAACCTGCACCACCAGGCATCCAACCTGTACCACCAGTCATCCAACCTGTACCACCAATCATCCAACCTGTACCACCAGGCATCCAACCTGCACCACCTGGCATCCAATGTGAACCACCAGGCATCCAACCTGCACCACCAGGCATCCAACCTGTACCACCAGGCATCCAACCTGTACCACCAATCATCCAACCTGTACCACCAGGCATCCAACCTGCACCACCAGGCATCCAACCTGTACCACCAGGCATCCAACCTGTACCACCAGGCATCCAACCTGTACCACCAGGCATCCAACCTGCACCACCTGGCATCCAATGTGAACCACCAGGCATCCAACCTGTACCACCAGGCATCCAACCTGCACCACCTGGCATCCAATGTGAACCACCAGGCATCCAACCTGTACCACCAGGCATCCAACCTGCACCACAGGGCATCCAACCTGCACCACCAGGCATCCAACCTGCACCACCAGGCATCCAACCTGCACCACCTGGCATCCAACCTGCACCACCAGGCATCCAACCTGTACCACCAGTCATCCAACCTGTACCACCAGGCATCCAACCTGCACCACCAGGCATCCAACCTGTACCACCAGGCATCCAACCTGTACCACCAGGCATCCAACCTGCACAACCTGGCATCCAATGTGAACCACCAGGCATCCAACCTGCACCACCAGGCATTCAACCTGTACCACCAGGCATCCAACCTGCACCACCAGGCATCCAACCTGCACCACCAGGCATCCAACCTGCACCACCAGGCATCCAACCTGCACCACCAGGCATCCAACCTGCACCACCAGGCATCCAACCTGCACCACCTGGCATCCAACCTGCACCACCAGGCATCCAACCTGCACCACCTGGCATCCAACCTGTACCACCAGGCATCCAACCTGCACCACCAGGCATCCAACCTGCACCACCAGGCATCCAACCTGCACCACCTGGCATCCAACCTGCACCACCAGGCATCCAACCTGTACCACCAGTCATCCAACCTGTACCACCAGTCATCCAACCTGTACCACCAGGCATCCAACCTGTACCACCAGTCATCCAACCTGTACCACCAGACATCCAACCTGTACCACCAGTCATCCAACCTGTACCACCAGTCATCCAACCTGTACCACCAGTCATCCAACCTGTACCACCAGGCATCCAACCTGTCCTTTCGAATAGAACATCGCATTTTGATGTATAAATCACATTACTCCATAAACTGATGTGCTCATAATTAGTGGCACGAACAAAATTTACGTTATGTCCCGTTTTCTATTCATGGGTCCTCGGTTAGGTTAGGTTCGAGCAATTTAGTACATCTTTTAACTGACGTCGTGAACACTCGAGAGGACGGGCTTAGGCAGTAATGGTCCTATTCCTTGTCATACTCACAACCCCTAAGAATGTATTTGCTGCGAGATTCGTTACTTCGTCCACTGTTCCCACAAAAAGGTAGACACAGTTATCATCATAAATGATATCGAATAACCATGACTATTCGCTTTTTGTAGTCCTGGAGTAGTGTTGGTGTGAGATAAGAGAAAGTGATGTGATTCCTACGGAAGTTAGATGCGTACTGACTGATGGCTTCCCAAGTTTTTCTGAGCAAGACCACCCCACCCAAGGAAGGGAAGAGAAGGGAAGGGAAGGGAAGGGAAGGGAAGGGAAGGGTTGGGAAGGGTTGGGAAGGGTTGGGAAGGGAAGGGAAGGGAAGGGAAGGGAAGGGAAGGGAAGGGAAGGGAAGGGAAGGGAAGGGAAGGGAAGGGAAGGGAAGGGAAGGGAAGGGAAAGGAAAGGAAAGGAAAGGAAAGGAAAGGAAAGGAAAGGAAAGGAAAGGAAAGGAAAGGAAAGGAAAGGAAAGGAAAGGAAAGGAAAGGAAAGGAAAGGAAAGGAAAGGAAAGGAAAGGAAAGGAAAGGAAGGGAAAGGAAGGGAAGGGAAGGGAAGGGAAGGGAAGGGAAGGGAAGGGAAGGGAAGGGAAGGGAAGGGAAGGGAAGGAAAGGAAAAGGAAGGGAAGGGAAGGGAAGGGAAGGGAAGCGTAGGGAAGGGAAGGGAAGGGAAGGGTAGGGAACTATCAAGAGAAAGCGCTAAGCTATGACGACTATATAGCATTTGGAAGGGGTCAGGATAAGGATTTGGGATGAGACAAGGGGGGGGGTAGGAATTGTGCCCAATCACTTGGAGCCCAACCCCAGGAGACTTCTTATGGATGCAGGCATGACCAGACGACTGAGGATTGTTTATCTGAAGTTGAACTGGAATGGTGTCCTTCACCACATAGACCACAAAAGTGCTCACGGTAGTATCAACTTATATATTTTTATTTATTTATTTCCAATTTAGTGAAAGTTTTTAATTTAACATGTTATACCCTTCTCTTAGTTTATATAAACACTCTTTATATGTTATATATTATTCCCCACAGTTACTTATATATGTATCACGCTTGAGAAAAATTGTGAATTAATATGAGAGCAGGTGTCCTGGAAGTGATATTTTGGTCATTGCTGCCTTATACTCACCTAGGTGTGTATGAGAGGGTTGAGCTTCGGCTCTTGTTCCGCCTAGCAACTGTCAATATACTGGTGCACAGGTTCCTGAACTTACTGAGCTCTATCATATCTACATTTTATACTGTGTATTGAATCAGGCTCCAAAATCTCTTCCTAATGTATTCCATTTATTAACTAGTCTAACACTGAAAATTCTTTCTAATGTCTCTGCCGCTCATTTGGGTACTCGGTTTCCACCTGTGTTCCCCTGTGCGAGTACCATTTGTGTTAAATAATCTGTCCTTATCTACCCTGTCAATTTCCCCTGATCATTTTGCATGTAGTGATCATGACTCCCCCAAACTTCGCTGTCATCCAACGACGTAAGGTGCAATGAACGCAGCCTTTACTCATAACTCATGCCTCTTTGATTTGGGACTAGTCTAGTGGCATACATTAGAACCTTCCGCAGCTCGATCTTATGCTTGACAAGATATGGGCTCCATTCTAGAGCCGCATACTTCAGGATTGGTCTTCCATGTGTGGTATACAAGGTTCTAAATGATTCCTTTATACAAGTTTCACACAAGTTTCTAAAGACACTTCTGATGTTAGCCAGCCTCGTATACGCCGTTGACGATATTCTTATGTGTGTGTGCTTCAGAAGACAGATTTGGCGTAATATCAACTCCTAGCTCTTTCTCTCTGCTAGTTTCATGGAGGACTTCATCTTCCATTCCGTATCCTGTGTCTGACCACCTGTTCCGTCCACCTATGTTTCATTCCCTTATATCTAGTTGTGTTGAACTTTATTAGACATTTATTAGATCACTCCTTCAGTTTCTCTAAGTCATCTTGGAAACTCTTGCTTTCTTCCTCGGTTTTAATCATCCTCATTGTTTTTGCCTCATCTGCAAACATTGAGAGGAACGAGTCTATTTCTTCTGGGAGAACATATATAAAAACAATATAGATCCAAAGACTGAATCGTCTGGGAATCCACTGATGACGTCGCGCCACTATGAGACCTAACCTCTCACAGTAACTCGCTATTTCCTGTTGCTAATTTACTCCATTATCTAATGGAGTATCTTAACCTTTGTTATGATCCCAGGTAGCTGAAAAACGAGTCTCACCTTTGAGAATTATTCTATTAGGCCTGACCTGACTAGACGGTCAAGGAAATATAAAGGAGAAGATACATATGTAAAATAATTTGTTGATTTGATAGAAAATTTCAGAATGTGGGTAGTGAATAAGAAAATAAGTAAATGACTTGATATAAGATGTGGAGAGTTTGCTGGAGGTGTTGAAAGGAATTGGAATCATCAGGGGGGAAGAACCAAGCCATTACGACTATATAACACTTGGAAGGGGGTCAGGATAAGGATTGGGGATGGGACGAGGCGAAGTTAAGGATTTCTTCAGCTCAAGTGAGCTTGAGCTCACTTGAGCTGAAGAAATTGTGAGGGGAGGGCGTGGTCTGTTTGAGCCCCTGTTAGAGAGGAACCCCTTTTTTATATACCTTCAAGAAGAAGGAAGTGGACAGACGTCTCGAATGAGGAATAAGTTAGGAGGCGTGTCATCCCTAGTTAGGAACTGCACAAGGTGGTGAAGGGGCAGTTAAAGCAGTTGTATGGGTAGCCTGAGGCGCCCTGAGTGTCGCCGCCCCATCCAAGAGCGCCCTGCTGGAGACCCTTTTGTGGTAAGCAATTTTAACCAGTTTACAGTTATTGCCTATAATTGATCGTATTCCCAGCGATCGTAGCGAATGTTTATTGATACATTAGGCATATTTTATTGGGGCAGAAGGCCTAAAATAAGAGAGTAAAGATGGAGGAACGTCCTGGAGGGCGGAGCGACATCCGACCACTCCTACTGCTGGAGGGCAACTGAGGGGCCAGCCACCAGCTGCCTCGAGGGCCGATGGGCCGGGCGGAAGATGGACCAGCCCAAACGGGGAAGTCCACACTCACAGCATGTAGAGAGTAGAGAGATGTTGGGTGTAAACATATTGTGTAGTTCATTTCGTTTACGTGTTTATAGGGAAACATTTTTATTGGCGAGTCAATGGGTTGCAGGTTTGTCTGGGGAAGGAATTGCTGAGAACTTCTAAGCCAGCTGAGTGAAAGTAGTTGATGAGACTCCAAGGTTGTGGAAGGTACTGAGCTCTGTGGAAGAGCAGCTATACAGTGAGGAGCAGAACCTCAAGCTGTGAGAAGAGAAGTGGAATGGACCACCAACAACAACATCATAAAACCTTAAACTCCTACTTGCGTCTCCAGCTTTTGCACTAGTCTCCTGTGGAGTTCTGTGCTAAAAACTTTCTTGCAATCCAAAAATATACAGTCGCCCGCCATTCTCTTTCTTGTCTGATTTTTGTCGACTGATCATAGAATTCAAGATCTGACACAGGCACGATTTGTCATCCCTGAACCGATGCTGATGATGTGTTACAAAGTTCTTTCGCTCCAGATGTTCTACTAGTTTTTGTGCGCGATCTTCTCCATCACTTTGCACAGTATGCATGTTAGGGACACTGGCCTGTGATTTAGTGCCTCCTGTCAGTCACGCTTGTGCATTGGGGCTACTTTAGCCGTTTTCCATTGTCTGTCACTCGGAGTAGAGGAGGCCAGGCTGTGTGAGCTGTTAATGTCACCAAGCCATATAAACTTTGCTCGAACTCACATAATGGATCCAGTATTGGGAACTTTTAGGTTTATGGGTGTAATACATACTTTTAGGTGTATGTGTAATAACACAATTACACATGTGAATTACCTTACATCATTTAAAGGAACATGTGGAGTAGGTGTGACATGAAAGTATGTAAACTCACTAATGGTGAACTTATGACTCCCGCTTTATTACGTTCATGTATAACAGAGATAAATAAATTACTAATGATGAGGAGACCGATGACAGTAACAAGTTAACAATGCTAACGATAATTTGAAAAAAATGCAAATTATGACATCAGTAAGTTTATAATATTAGTGGTAGTTTAAATAATAATGATAGCCTAGAAGTTATAGTAATAATAGCATGATATCAGCCCTTCTTGATAACATTCAGATAATGTGACTTTTACTCACGACATTGTCTTGAGTAAATATATAGACATCTATAATATTTGTTAATGTAATGTATCAAAATAATTATGGCGGTATTAGGTTAAAATATATTTCTTAATGGGGTATATTACATTAAAAAATATTATAGATGCTGAATTTGTTTAAATATATCAGAAATTAGTAATATAAAATATAAAATAATCTCGAATATATTTCTAATAGGTATACGCATGTGAGACCTCCGGATGGTATATGGGGATCCCAGCAGAATGATGGGTCCTGGTCGGGTATGGTGGGAATGGTGAGCAGGCAGGTAAGTTGATGGGTATAGGGATCCCATTCGATGGATGGGTTCATGTAGATAAATTGAATAGATAATTAATGTCATAAATCATGATTAGCCTTGAAATATTGTGTGTCCATTTTTTTTTGGATATGGTGAACCGGGAAGTAAGTTGATGGGTTTAATGGGCAATATAAATACCAGCAAAAAGATGGGTCTTGGAGTACCATTACAAGTATGATGATCATAGACGCAAGTTTATGGGGATCCCAGAAGTACATGAATCCTGATCGATATTGTGAACAGGTATACTTGTTGATTAACTCTGGAGCACCCAACAGAATTAGACCATTGACTATTGTCGTGCGGATGGTGAGATCAGACTTATGTTCATGGGTTATGGGGAACGAATTGATGACTGGGTCCTGATGCAGTTTGGTGAGAATTGGGGAAATTTGTTTGTATATTGGGTCCAAACAAAAGAATGGTTCCTATTGTATTATGGAGGGTATGGAAAACAGGTTGTTGGGTATGCCAGCATAATAACGAGTCTTTATTCTGAAAATTTGGTATGGTTAGCAAGGAGGTGCATTAATGGGTTACTAGGATCACTGCAATTGGATGGTTATGCTTATCCCAGCAGAATGGATCTGGTCTAGTAATATGGCATGGAAAGTCTGTGGATCATGGGGATCCGAGCTGAAGGATAGGTTCTGAGCCTAGTTGGAAATTCCAAACATCTAAAAGTGTCAAGAGTGACCACAGTAGTACCATAGTAGAAACAGGTAAATTTGTATATGCATAAATTACATTATTAATGGCGTATGTTCGTATATAAAAAGTCGGTGATGAAACTTAACTATGGAACAGAGATATATAACACACATCGTGAAAGTAATATTTTATGTGAACTTCAAATTTGTTTTTATAATAATAGGTGAACAGCTAAATATGTATGTAATGTATACGGAGGTTTGGCCATACCATTGTACAGTCAAAGAAATTTATTCCTTTACCTCTTGGTTTCGTGGAACATGCAAAATGGCACCTCCGAGTTTGTTTGTTGCTTTCACACGTTGCCTGCGCATTTACCATGACTACTTCATCTTCACTTCCAACCATCTCAACACCACTGTAACCTCAAAATTTCCAGTACAGGCTTTACCTTACCACAAGGACCCCCTCTATCCACCTTTGGGGGTCGGGTAGGTACGACGGCCTTCGCTACCTCTTCCGCGTGGACGTCCGCCTCCACCACTTCACAGTTTTGTATCTTAATCCCAGCTGACACATTACTAACACCCACCGCACATCGATGTGCAAAGGTCCTCAATCTTACGCCACCCATGGCAGTCCCCACAATTAGAGCCACATCCTCATTCGCTTGCACCAGTTGATCCTGTACCGTCACGACATCAGGGGCATCCTGCTCTATCCTGCAAGCAGTAACCACAGTCTGCAATCTCAGGAGGTCAGCCTCCCGGAACACATTCACCCAATCGGCCCATTCAATTTCACAAGCAGCGGCCAGATGACCGGACTGCCATATTTAAAACATGTGTTCAGTTGTCCAGAATATAGAATTTGTAGCCACCTGCCCATCACTGTAACAGGAGAAGAAATATTCCTCTCCAGAATCATTTTGAACATCCTCGTCCCAATTAATTAAGTTAATCAGCACCTTCATATGAATGGTGATTCATTCGAACCTCCCCCACTTGTCCATAACGTGCAAGCACGTTAAAGTCATTAGGTAATTCAAATGGCACATCCCGCACCGCAAAATAAGTGTAGATCAGATTTAACTTCAACTTAAATGCAAAATGTCCACAATTCCTACCGGGTATTGTGTACTGGCTCGATGCGGTCGTAGTCTGCTGTCTGCTCTGTGTCAAAGCTGTAGCGTCTTGGGTCGATTAGAACTGTACAGGCCGAGTGCTACATTGTTGACTGTGGAAATTGTACTGTTTTCCATTCTTCACATCGCTTGCTTATATGGTGATTACACCTCAGCTCCCTCCAACAAGATGAGAAGAGTATTACCTGTAATTGGGGAAAGGATTGTAGCATCTGTAATTTAGTGCTAATTAGTTAGTTGGTGGTGCCGTGCAGGGGCACCCTGGCAATGGTGAGGGCCTGCATGATGGGGTTGTCCATCCCTCCTGTAAGGCGGACGCTATTGGTTGGGCTGGAGTTCTCCGGCCTGGTGCACTATCAGGCAGTAGGCGTGGCGCAGTTTGATGTCATGCGTATTGCAGCAGCCAACGTGGGTGGTGTTCAGATCAACTAAAGTCACCAGGTGGTGGTGAAGTTTCATCCCAAGGTTGTCTTCACGGATTTTGTCCGGCGTTATGACGGGCGCTCCTTTATGTTGCCTGGGAATGCTGGGACAGTGACTGTTTCGGATCACAGTGTTTTGGCAACTTATGTGAATGTGCACGGTGTGCCTTTTGAGTTTCCAGACGACCTTTGTCGTCGGTTTTTTTTTTTTTGTGGGGGGGGGGGGGGGGGGAACTGGGTGTGTCATGCACCTCCAGCTGCATGTGAATTCCTCTGGAAGGCTGAAGAGTGTGCTAAATGAGATCCAGACTCTTACTAAGCAGCTTTAGGCTGATATCCCGTCAATGTTTGGGTTCCCCATCCGGGATTTTTATGCTGGTCAGCCTCGCACTTGTTGTTTTAGTCGCAGTTTGTTGGGACACCTGGCTGCAGTGAGTCGTGCTGGTATGGTGGAGAGAGTGAATCTTTTCCAAGAGGATGATTCCCATCCCCCTCCTCTGAGAGTCCCCGGAGGCTTCTGTGCGTGATGCTGCAAACATGGGTGCTCTAACGGAATGGCTAGCAGCTAGGAGCCCCTCTGCTGCAGCAGGCACTGTTGCGGTTGTGGTGCCGACTTTGTCTGCGGTTTTTCTGCGGACCTCCCTAGTGGCGCTGCAGGCGTCGTGGAGGATGTGTGTGTGTGTGTGGACGTTCCTCCTGCTATGGCTGTACAGGAAGTGGCGATGGTTTCTCCGGTGGTACCAGTGCCTGTGTCATGGCAGCTTGCTGTCTGGTGTTCTGGGGGGTCTCGGCTGCCTGTGTGCATTTGGTCGCCGGGGGGAAGTTCCTACTCCAGTCCAGGGGCTATGTTTGGTTCCTGATGTACATGAAGAAGTTCACATCATGCAGCCTGATGTGGTGATTGCTTCGGTTCCTCCGGTGGTCTCCTCGGCTGATGTGGTGCATGTCTTGGGGGACAGTTGCACCTGTTGCAAATTTTTTTATGAAATGATAAAGCTACCCATTTCATTATGTATGAGGTTAATTTTTGTTATTGGAGTTAAAATTAACGTACATACATGACCGAACCAAACCAACCCTACCTAACCTAACCTAACCTATCTTTATAGGTTAGGTTTGGTCAGGTAGCCGAAAAAGTTAGGTTAGGTTAGGTTAGGTAGGATAGGTAGTCGAAAAACAAATAATTCATGAAAACTTGGCTTATTAGGCAAAGCGGGCATTGCATAGTAGACTGAGAAGTGCGTTCATGCTACTAGGTACGACATATATATATATATATATATATATATATATATATATATATATATATATATATATATATATATGTCGTACCTAGTAGCCAGAACTCACTTTTTGGCCTACTATTCATGGCCCGATTTGCCTAATAAGCCAAGTTTTCCTGAATTATTATATTTTTTCTAATTTTTTTCTTATGAAATGATAAAGCTACCCATTTCATTATGTATGAGATCAATTTTTTTTTTATTGGAGTTCAAATTAACGTAGATATATGACCGAACCTAACCAACCCTACCTAACCTAACCTAACCTATCTTTATAGGTTAGGTTTGGTTAGGTAGCCGAAAAAGTTAGGTTAGGTTAGGTTAGGTAGGTTAGGTAGTCGAAAAACAATTAATTCATGAAAACTTGGCTTATTAGGCAAAACGGGCATTGCATAGTAGGCTGAGAAGTGCGTTCTGGCTATTAGGTACGACATATATATATATTATATATATATATATTTATATATTATATATATATATATATTATATATATACTATATGTATATACATATATATATATATATATATATATATATATATATATATATATATATATATATATATATATATATGTATATATATACATATATATATATATATATATATATATATATATATATATATATATATATATATATATATATATATATATGCAAACAAGCCTGAATGGTCCCCAGGACTATATGCGACTGAAAACTCACACCCCAGAAGTGACTCGAACCCATACTCCCAGGAGCAACGCAACTGGTAACTACAGGGCGCCTTAATCCGCTTGACCATCACGGCCGGACAAAAGGAAGTGATAGCCGAAGCTATTTGAACCACTTCCCCACCGGCAACTCGGATGGTAATCTTGGGCATAGCATTTCACCAAATCACCTAATTCTTTGGGGCACATGTGAGGAACACAAAAGCGAACAAGCCTGAATGGTCCCCAGGACTATATGCGACTGAAAACTCACACCCCAGAAGTGACTCGAACCCATACTTCCAGGAGCAACGCAACTGGTAACTACAGGGCGCCTTAATCCGCTTGACCATCACGGCCGGACAAAAGGAAGTGATAGCCGAAGCTATTTGAACCACTTTCCCGCCGGCAACTCGGATGGTAATCTTGGGCATAGCATTTCACCAAATCACCTCATTCTTTGGGGCACACGTGAGGAACACAAATGCGAACAAGCCTGAATGGTCCTCAGGACTATATGCGACTGAAAACTCAAAAACTTTGTATATATATATATATATACTTATATATATATATATATATATATATATATATATATATATATATATATATATATATATATATATATATATATGTCGTACCTAGTAGCCAGAACGCACTTCTCGGCCTACTATTCAAGGCCCGATTTGCCTAATAAGCCAAGTTTTCCTGAATTAATATATTTTCTCTAATTTTTTTCTTATGAAATGATAAAGCTACCCATTTCATTATGTATGAGGTAAATTTTTTTTTATTGGAGTTAAAATTAACGTAGATATATGACCGAACCTAACCAACCCTACCTAACCTAACCTAACCTATCTTTATAGGTTAGGTTGGGTTAGGTAGCCGAAAAAGTTAGGTTAGGTTAGGTTAGGTAGGTTAGATTGTCGAAAAACAATTAATTCATGAAAACTTAGCTTATTAGGCAAATCGGGCCTTGCATAGTAGGCTGAGAAGTGAGTTCTGGCTACTAGGTACGACATATATATATATATATATATTTATATATATATATATGTCGTACCTAGTACCCAGAACGCACTTCTCAGCCTACTATGCAAGGCCTGATTTGCCTAATAAGTCAAGTTTTCCTGAATTAATATATTTTCTCTAATTTTTATCTTATGAAATGATAAAGCTACCTATTTCATTATGTATGAGGTAAATTTTTTTTTATTATTGGAGTTAAAATTAACGTAGATATATGACCGAACCTAACCAACCCTACCTAACTTAACTTAACCTATCTTTATAGGTTAGGTTAGATTGTAGAAAAACAATTAATTCATAAAAACTTGGCTTATTAGGCAAATCGGGCCTTGCATAGTAGGCCGAGTACGACGTTCTGGCTACTAGGTACGACATATATATATATATATATATATATATATATATATATATATATATATATATATATATATATATATATATGTCGTACCTAGTAGCCAGAACGCACTTGTCAGCCTACTATGCAGGGCCCGATTTGCCTAATAAGCCAAGTTTTCATGAATTAATTGTTTTTTGACTACCTAACCTACCTAACCTAACCTAACCTAACTTTTTCGGCTACCTAACCTAACCTAACCTATAAAGATAGGTTTGGTTAGGTTAGGTAGGGTTGGTTAGGTTCGGTCATATATCTACGTTAATTTTAACTCCAATAAAAAAAAATTGACCTCATACATTATGAAATGGGAAGCCTTATCATTTCATAAGAAAAAAAATAGAGAAAATATATTAATTCAGGAAAACTTGGCTTATTAGGCAAATCGGGCCTTGCATAGTAGGCTGAGAAGTGCGTTCTGGCTACTAGGTACGACATATATATATATATATATATATATATATATATATATATATATATATATATATATATATATATATATACATATGTATATATAAATATATATATATATATGTATATGTATATATTAGTATATTTTGGTAGCTGTCTTTCCTGTAGACATATATTATTAAATATGACTGAAAAGGTAAGATTAATAATTCTAACACGAATTTTCTCAATCTTTCGTACATTTCTTTTCACTGTTGGAGGTAAATCAAAAATCAATTTTCCAAAATTCATTTTTATTTCTAGTCTGACGCGACACGAGCGCGTTTCGTAAAACTTATTACATTTTCAAAGACTTTAGTTCACAAATACACAACTAAATAGAACTTACGCATCTCCGATTTTATATCTACATTTGAGTGAGGTGGAAGGGGTGATGTGGCATTAACACAAGACAGAACAAAAGGTGACATTAATAGGGTATTAATTTCATCAACACAAGACAGAACAAGAAATGGTATTAATAGGGTATTAATTTCATCAACACAAGACAGAACACGAAACAATGGGTATTGAATAGAAGTGTTTGTAGAAAGCCTATTGGTCCATATTTCTTGATGCTTCTATATTGGAGCGAAGTCTTGAGGTGGGTAGAATATAGTTGTGGTCATTAATTGGCTGTTGATTGCTGGTGTTGACTTCTTGATGTGTAGTGCCTCGCAAACGTCAAGCCGCCTGCTATCGCTGTATCTATCGATGAGTTCTGTGTTGTTTACTAGGATTTCTCTGGCGATGGTTTGGTTGTGGGAAGAGATTATATGTTCCTTAATGGAGCCCTGTTGCTTATGCATCGTTAAACGCCTAGAAAGAGATGTTGTTGTCTTGCCTATATACTGGGTTTTTTGGAGCTTACAGTCCCCAAGAGGGCATTTGAAGGCATAGACGACGTTAGTCTCTTTTAAAGCGTTCTGTTTTGTGTCTGGAGAGTTTCTCATGAGTAGGCTGGCCGTTTTTCTGGTTTTATAGTAAATCGTCAGTTGTATCCTCTGATTTTTGTCTGTAGGGATAACGTTTCTATTAACAATATCTTTCAGGACCCTTTCCTCCGTTTTATGAGCTGTGGAAAAGAAGTTCCTGTAAAATAGTCTAATAGGGGGTATAGGTGTTGTGTTAGTTGTCTCTTCAGAGGTTGCATGGCGTTTCACTTTCCTTCTTATGATGTCTTCGACGAAACCATTGGAGAAGCCGTTGTTGACTAGGACCTGCCTTACCCTACAGAGTTCTTCGTCGACTTGCTTCCATTCTGAGCTGTGGCTGAGAGCACGGTCGACATATGCGTTAACAACACTCCTTTTGTACCTGTCTGGGCAGTCGTTGTTGGCATTTAGGCACATTCCTATGTTCGTTTCCTTAGTGTAGACTGCAGTGTGGAAACCTCCGCTCTTTTCCATGACTGTTACATCTAGAAAGGGCAGCTTCCCATCCTTTTCCATCTCGTAAGTGAAACGCTACACGGAACTCTGCTCAAATGCCTCCTTCAGCTCCTGCAGATGTCTGACATCAGGTACCTGTGTAAAAATGTCGTCAACATACCTGCAGTATATGGCCGGTTTCAAGTTCATGTCGACTAAGGCTTTTTGCTCGATGGTACCCATGTAGAAGTTTGCAAACAGGACACCTAGGGGAGAACCCATGGCGACCCCATCTACTTGCTTATACATGTGCCCATCCAGGCTCAAGAAGGGTGCCTCTTTAGTACAAGCTTGGAGTAGTTTCCTCAGAATATTTTCTGGTATATCAAGAGGAGTACAGGCTGGATCACGATACACTCTGTCGGCTATCATCCCGATTGTATATATTCAATTCACAACTATATTCTACCCACCTCAAGACTCCGCTCCAATATAGAAGCATCAAGAAATATGGACCAATAGGCTTTCTACAAACACTTCTATTCAATACCCATTGTTTCGTGTTCTGTCTTGTGTTGATGAAATTAATACCCTATTAATACCACTTCTTGTTCTGTCTTGTGTTGATGAAATTAATACCCTATTAATGCCACCTTTTGTTCTGTCTTGTGTTAATGCCACATCACCCCTTCCACCTCACTCAAATGTAGATATAAAATCGGAGATGCGTAAGTTCTATTCAGTTGTGTATTTGTGAACTAAAGTCTTTGAAAATGTAATAAGTTTTACGAAACGCGCTCGTGTCGCGTCAGACTAGAAATAAAAATGAATTTTGGAGAATTGATTTTTGATTTACCTCCAAAAGTGAAAAGAAATGTACGAAAGATTGAGAAAATTCGTGTTAGAATTATCAATCTTACCTTTTCGGTCATATTTAATAATATATATGTGTATATATATATATATATATATATATATATATATATATATATATATATATATATATATATATATATATATATATATATATATATATATATATATATATATATATATATATATATATATATATATATATATATATATATATATGGCTGTATTAACTTGAACAGCATGGACATGCAATTTTCATTATATAGTACTCTTTTATTAAAACTGTTATGCAAGCAATTAGGATATACAATTTGTGACAAAATATTACAAATAAAATACAATATCCTATCTTTCCTGCGCAGGAGGTGGACATTGGTCTTGGCCCCTTTGCTATCGATGCTCAGTCAGCTGCGGTTGTGGACTTCACGTGGCCAGTGACAATAGAATACATTAGGATCCTAGGAGGTCGAGGTCGGGCGGAGGTGGACCCGTGGGGTTTCCTCTTCCCTCTGGACCCGCTGGTGTGGGCGTCCATCTTGGGGGCGCTACTGGTGCTGCCTCTTGCGGTGTTCCTCATGTCCTCATGCACTTCCATTAAGACTCCGGTCCAATTTATGGACGAGACATTCAACTTTACATCACTAATTCTAAATCAAGGTTGGCAATATTTAAATTTTTGTATTTAACGAAACAAATGTTATTTACAATTACTTGGTATTACTTCTAGAATACTAGGATGTTTTAATAATATTTATCTGGTGACCCTAGGCTGAATTCAGACCCCTCTAATGCTTTTATATTCGAAACTCTACTCCTTATAATTATTATATTTTTATTTATTATATTTATTATTATTGAATAAATCTACAAGAACCTTGATGAGGATTCGAAAATATGCGCTGAGTGTTCCCAGACGCGCTTTAGGCAACTGAACCAGTACATAATTAAAAGAATTGCAATCTGAAGGGTTATTGCCTTCACACGGATCCTGAGTCTTCCACCGAAGCCTAACAGGGGTTTTACACTGTGAGAGAAATACTAGGATTGAAAAAAAACAGAATTACATAGGACCACAAATCTGCAACTGAATAATTACTGTAAATAATTAATAAAAATTCCACACAAAATAAGCTAATTTGTTACCTGAAGGTAAGGTTCCTATGCTGGGTTGTAAGGCCAACTCCTCGAGTCCTTGATTCTGGTAATGGGCTGTAGCAGGTAGGGTTCTTAAAGCTGAACTAGATCATTGATAGTAGAACCACAATATACCTGCGGGCATTCCAACACATTTAGCTTGTAATTTTATACAAGTATAAATTTATAAAAACAGTCTAAAATTGTAAACACTAGTATGGTTCATGATCAAAGATCTGAACTAGGATATAGTTTAACCTAGCTCTAGAAATATTGTAACAACCCCTTATCAATTGTTCTAATGCTCTCAACAAAGTGGTTGTATAATACAAGGATAATGCATGTGCAATATGCAAAGAAAATATTATATGTAATAAAATTAACCTAATTGATAAATTAAGATTAATGGAAATGGCAATTAAATGTATGATGATTAATACCAAAGAATTATATACGCAAGATATAGATAGATTGATATGAATATTCAGCAAAAAAAGAGGTTCATTCACTGAAAAAGATATATCAACTCATTAATTGGTGAGGCATTGCCTTGCTGCCTAACGACTCTCAACTTATATTTGGATGTATTATTGTCATAACGTATACTACTGGCTAATCTACGCTCTAAAACAATAATTAACTAATCCAGAAAATGAAAACCGGAGCCTAATTTGGCAAGTTGTCAGTCTGTATGATCTCTCAAGAGATAGGCTCTGTATTTTTGATGAAGATAAGGCATCTTGATGTTGATTGAGTTCCTAGTAGCGTTTGCTGTAGGATGGATTCACAATCACTTTATTCTAGCAGTGCTAAGGATTAAGTGATGATGGAAGCGTAGCAAGTCTCTGGATACATGAGTTCACTCTCACTTCGAATTGTTATGGACAAATTCTAGCTTAGATTATAGATCAGGGACTCCCCGAATATCTAGGGAGTGATTATTGGTAATTTAACAAGTAGTTTGTGCGCTAGTGTCCACTGAAATTGTCCTCAAACACCGTTTTCATGTCAACATAGGATTATCAGGTACTCGACATTTCTGCACCACCTGCATCGGCCCCCTCCTCGCAGTCAGGGTGCCGACAATGATTATAGTTTGATTATTTTCATTGTTTATATTGATTATTGTGATAAAGTTATATCACAGGATAAACACCTAGAAGATTTAAAGATTATTGATAGTACATTTTGTCCTTTATTAAGGATTTTGAAAAATATGTCTATCTTATCTTGAGATGATTTCGGGGCTTTAGTGTCCCTGCGGCCCGGTCCTCGACCAGGCCTCCGCCCCCAAGAAGCAGCCCGTGACAGCTGACTAACACCCAGGTACCTATTTTACTGCTAGGTAACAGGGGCATAGGGTGAAAGAAACTCTGCCCATTGTTTCTCGCCGGTGCCTGGGATCGAACCCAGGACCACAGGATCACAAGCCCAGTGTGCTGTCCGCTCGGCCGACCGGCTCTAAATGTCACTGGAAGCTATTACTTCGGTTCCAACATTTTTTTTTTTATTATTTCGAAACTTCTAGATTCTTGACATCACATGTAAAATGTTGTATAGCTATTGAGCCCAATGGTGTACTTTATCAAATGGCCATGTAGGCTGCTAATGTAGATAATGATGATTCTTAAATCATTAGCAGAGATATGAATCTGATGTAAAATACACACACCTAGGGGCCTCGTAGCCTGGTGGATAGCGCGCAGGATTCGTAATTCTGTGGCGCGGGTTCGATTCCCGCACGAGGCAGAAACAAATGGGCAAAGTTTTTTTCACCCTGAATGCCCCTGTTACCTAGCAGTAAATAGGTACCTGGGAGTTAGTCAGCTGTCACGGGCTGCTTCCTGGGGTGTGTGTGTGGTGTGGAAAAAAAAAGTAGTTAGTAAACAGTTGATTGACAGTTGAGAGCAAGCAAGAGCAAAGCTCAACCCCCGTAAAAACACAACTAGTAAACACACACACACACACACACACACACACACACACACACACACACACACACACACACACACACACACACACACACACACACACACACACACACACACACACCACACACACACACACACACACACACACACACACACACACACACACACACACACACACACACACACACACACACACACACACACACACACAGGGAAAAATCCGAGAAGCAACAGAAGAATCTATGGTATAATAGGGCATGTATCGAAGCGAAGAAACTGAACAAAAAGGCGTGGAGGAACTTCCGGAATAACAGAACACCAGAAAGCAGAGAGAGATACCAGAGAACCAGGAATGAGTACGTCAGGGTGAGAAGAGAAGCAGAGAAAAATTTTGAAAATGATATAGCAAACAAAGCCAAGACTGAACCAAAGCTACTCCACAGTCACATCAGAAGGAAAACAACAGTGAAAGAACAGGTATTGAACTTAGAACAGGCGAGGACAGGTATACAGAGAATGACAGAGAGGTGTGTGAGGAACTCAACAAGAGGTTCCAGGAGGTCTTCACAATAGAACAGGGTGAGGTCACTGTGCTAGGAGAAAGGGAGGTAAACCAGGCGGCCTTGGAGGAGTTCGAAATTACGAGAGAGGAGGTCAAGAGACACCTGCTGGATCTGGATGTTAGAAAGGCTGTTGGTCCAGATGGGATCTCACCATGGGTACTGAAAGAGTGTGCAGAGGCACTTTGCTTGCCACTCTCCATAGTGTATAGTAAGTCACTAGAGACGGGAGACCTACCAGAAATATGGAAGACGGCGAATGTGGTCCCAATATACAAAAAGGGCGACAGACAAGAGGCACTGAACTACAGGCCAGTGTCCTTGACTTGTATACCATGCAAGGTGATGGAGAAGATCGTGAGAAAAAACCTGGTAACACATCTGGAGAGAAGGGACTTCGTGACAAATCGCCAACATGGATTCAGGGAGGGTAAATCTTGCCTTACAGGCTTGATAGAATTCTACGATCAGGTGACACAGATTAAGCAAGAAAGAGAGGGCTGGGCGGACTGCATTTTCTTGGATTGTCGGAAAGCCTTTGACACAGTACCGCATAAGAGGCTGGTACATAAGCTGGAGAGACAGGCAGGTGTAGCTGGTAAGGTGCTCCAGTGGATAAGGGAGTATCTAAGCAATAGGAAGCAGAGAGTTACGGTGAGGGGTGAGACCTCCGATTGGCGTGAAGTCACCAGTGGAGTCCCACAGGGCTCTGTACTCGGTCCTATCTTGTTTCTGATATATGTAAATGATCTCCCGGAGGGTATCGATTCATTTCTCTCAATGTTTGCGGACGATGCTAAAATTATGAGAAGGATTAAAACAGAAGAGGACTGTTTGAGGCTTCAAGAAGACCTAGACAAGCTGAAGGAATGGTCGAACAAATGGTTGTTAGAGTTTAACCCAACCAAATGTAATGTAATGAAGATAGGTGTAGGGAGCAGGAGGCCAGATACAAGGTATCATCTGGGAGAGGAAATTCTTCAGGAGTCAGAGAAGGAAAAAGACTTGGGGGTTGATATCACGCCAGACCTGTCTCCTGCAGCACATATCAAGCGGATAACATCAGCGGCATATGCCAGGCTGGCCAACATACGAACGGCATTCAGAAACTTGTGTAAAGAATCATTCAGAACTTTGTATACCACATATGTCAGGCCAATCCTGGAGTATGCAGCCCCAGCATGGAGTCCATATCTAGTCAAGGATAAGACTAAACTGGAAAAGGTTCAAAGGTTTGCCACCAGACTAGTACCCGAGCTGAGAGGTATGAGCTACGAGGAGAGACTACGGGAATTAAACCTCACTTCGCTGGAAGACAGAAGAGTTAGGGGGGACATGATCACCACATTCAAGATTCTGAAGGGGATTGATAGGGTAGATAAAGACAGTCTATTTAACACAAGGGGAACACGCACAAGGGGACACAGGTGGAAACTGAGTGCCCAAATGAGCCACAGAGATATTAGAAAGAACTTTTTTAGTGTCAGAGTGGTTGACAAATGGAATGCATTAGGGGGTGATGTGGTGGAGGCTGACTCCATACACAGTTTCAAGTGTAGATATGACAGAGCCCGATAGGCTCAGGAATCTGTACACCTGTTGATTGACGGTTGAGAGGCGGGACCAAAGAGCCAGAGCTCAACCCCCGCAAACACAACTAGGCGAGTACAACTAGGTGAGTACACACACACACACACACACACACACACACACACACCTCTCTCTCTCTCTCTCTCTCTCTCTCCTCTCTCTCTCTCTCTCTCTCTCTCTCTCACACACACCACACTCATAGGGAAATCATGGAAGGGAGACGAACTCTGACTGCCAAACGCAGGAGGACATTCGCAACTGGAACAAACACAGAGGATGGGGTGGAACAGGAAGACTGGATGAAGGAAGTACTCCAGCAAATGCGGAATGAATTCAGTGAAGGACTGAGGGTAATGAGGGAGACAGTAGCCAACCTGCAAGATGATCTAAGGGCAGCAAAGGAGGAGATAAGATACCTAAAGGAGACTCTTCCACAATACCAGGCACAAACCGTACCCCAGGGCGATGGGAATGCTACTGTGGAGGGGACCACTACAACCCAGATCTCATTTGCTGAAATGCTTAAAAAGAGCCCTGAAGCTAGGTCTGCAGTTAAGGAAGTTGCCATGGAAGTGGCTTCCTCTCAGGAAGCGGCTAGATGTACTAGCCGGCTGATAGAGAGAAATAGAGCAGTAGTAGTAGCAGGCATTAAAGAGCAAACAGGGACCAGACCAAAGGAGCGGAGAGACAAGGACAAAATCATGATTAAAGAGATCCTTAAAAGGGTAAGGATGGAGGGCGCTGAGCAAAATGTTGAAAATGTTTTCAGGCTTGGAAAGTACAACAAGGACAGAGACCGAATGATAAAGGTGGTTTTCATGAGCGAAATCGCGAAAGAGGAACTGTTAGCAAGGAAGTGCTGTCTAGCAGGTGTAGAGAAGTTCAAAAAAATATTCCTGCAGAGGGATATGACAAGGGAATAGAGAATACGGACAGCAGACGCGAGGAAGGAGCGCAGGGAGAGAGAAGGAAATCAGAGTACCACAACCCAGAACCCTACAATCCCAGAGGGAAGTGGAGAACCCTCCTCAAACAGTGCAACAGCCACAGGGATTTGGGCACCACCCCCACATTCTACCCAACAGACACCCAACCTGCCCCATCCCCTGTCAGCCCCCCACTAAGTACCCACCCCTTTCCCCCCTCCCCCCTAAGCCCCCCACTCTCCCCCACCCCACCTAAATCTTCCCCTCTCCCCCACTCCCCTAAACCCTCCCTCTTTCTCACCCACTTCAGCCCTCCCTTTTCCCCCACGCCCCCCAAGCCCTCCACCCTTTTCTCTCCCCCCAAGCCCCCCATCTCTCCTATCCCCCACAGCCTCTCCTCCCCCCATGCTTCTCCAACCCTCCCTCTCTTACCCACCCCCTGTACCCTCCCCCTCTTACCCACCCCCTGTACCCTCCCCTCTTACCCACCCCCTGTACCCTCCCCCTCTCCCCCACCACCCCAAGCCCTCCCTCTCCACCAATCTCCAGATGCCAGGTCCCCCCAACTCCCACTCACCCCAGATCCCAAAGGTCCCCCCCCCCAGAGAAGAAGCAGAAGAGAGTCAGTTTCAGGGTGATGTACTCGAACATAGATGGGTTCACAAGCAAGACAAGTGAACTAAGGGAAAGAGCACAAGAAGTTAACCCAGATGTAATCGGACTCACTGAAACAAAACTCTCTGGAATCATAACGAATGCCGTGTTTACCCAGGAGTACACAGTAATAAGGAAAGAGAGGGAAGGTAGGGGAGGAGGTGGAGTGGCCCTACTCATGAGAAGGGAATGGAGTTTTAAGGAGATGGTCATCCCGGACTGTGAGGAGTTCAGAGACTACATAGCAGGCACCATAACAATGGGAGGACCAAGAATAGTAGTAGCAGTAATATACAACCCTCCACCAAATGACAGGAGACCCAGTCAAGAGTATGAAAACAACAACATGGCAGTTAACACTATAATTGAGAGGGCAGCCTCTGCTGCCTGTAGAAATAGATCCCACCTGCTCATCATGGGCGACTTCAATCACGGTACGATTGACTGGGAGAACAAGGAACCGCATGGAGGCGAGGATACGAGGAGAGCCA